GGAGAGGAGTTTACATATAAATTAGCATGTAACTGGGGGATTAGCATGATGTTGGTGTGAGGGATGAGCACCACGGAAAGCGACGAGCTCGGACCGGAGGAGGGGGGAGAGGAGTTTACATATAAATTAGCATGTAACTGAGGGATTAGCATGATGTTGGTGTGAGGGATGAGCACCACGGAGAGCGACGAGCTCGGACCGGAAGAGGGGGGAGAGGAGTTTACATATAAATTAGCATGTAACTGGGGGATTAGCATGTTGTTGGTGTGAGGGATGAGCACCATGGAGAGTGACGAGCTCGGACCGGAGGAGGGGGGAGAGGAGTTTACATATAAATTAGCATGTAACTGGGGGATTAGCATGATGTTGGTGTGAGGGATGAGCACGCGGAGAGCGACGAGCTCGGACCGGAGGAGGGGGGAGAGGAGTTTACATATAAATTAGCATGTAACTGGGGGATTAGCATGATGTTGGTGTGAGGGATTAGCACCACAGAGAGCGACGAGCTTTGTTCAAACGGACGAGTCATCTATGTACGGGACGGAGGAGGGGGGAGAGGAGTTTACATATCAACAGTAAATTAGCATGTAACTGGGGGATTAGCATGATGTTAGTATGAGGGATTAACACCACGGACAGCGACGAGCTTTGTTCAGACAGACGAGTCCATCTATGTTCGGAACGGAGGAGGGGGGGGGGGGAAGAGGAGGAAACGGCCACGGTGCGCTGCTCTGTCCTATGCTGCGTTATAACTATGCTATAAACTAGACTACTATACATTACAATATTATACCTTCGAGTCTAAACTACATTGTATAATATCGTATCCATAGACAAACCCCACCCTTGAATTATACAATGCGTTACTATACACTACCCTATACTTTAGACTATAAAATATTAGACTTGTAGTATTACACTATGTATTATTCTACTAACCCTACTGTATACCACACTGCTGTATATATACAATTACGGTACTATCTATTGCCTTATGAATAATGTTAAACATTATACTGTTATACTATTTATTATTATACAAAATGCTATAAACTATACTATTGACCGTCGTGTGAAAGGTACTAAGAGGCAGTACCAGCGAATGGACTGCGGTCTGAAAGTCACCGTAAAATACAATCAATCAAGAACTGAAATGGTTTATAACGTCTTTCTAATGGTTACTAAGCCGGAATCCATCTTCTCGGTTGAAATTGTCTCTGTGTTTGTATATGTGGATAGCCTCATGAACGAATCTCTCATGGTAGCCGGATGGCTTGCAGAGAACCTCCGTCTTGGAGAAGTCAATGTCACGTGAGCCCACTGAATTATAACAGTGATCTGCCACGGCTGAGGTGTTCATCCTACCGTGTTTCAAGTCTGCTTCATGTTCACGGATGCGGTCCGAGATATGTCGTTTGGCTTCTCCAATGTAGCTGCTACCACAGAGGCAACTTAGTTTGTAGACGCCCGGGTACTGTATGTATGGAACCACATCTTTTACAGATGGAACCAGATCATGGATTTTATGTTATGTGTTGAATCGGACCCGGATCTTGTGTTTATTCAGGATTTTGGAGATCTTTTTTGTGAACCCCGCAATGTAGGGTAAGGTGATGGTTTTGAATGGCTCCTCAAGAGGATCCTTCTTTATGGTTGGAGTGATGGCTTTGCGGATTGTGTAGTGGAGTAACCATTAGCCTTGAGAGCTTGGTGTACGTTCTTGAGTTCACTAGCAATGTGTTCCTGGTCGGAAATGCATTGGGCTCATGGTATAGAGTCTTGATGCGGGTATATGCCTCCTTCACATAACTGTATCTCCATGTAAACAATAATAAAACAAATGCAGAATCTGTATTTATCAAGGAGAAATCCGATGGGCTATAAAGCCCTTCTTCACAGATGTGCCCGGTAGACACGTTTACACAACCCATCATCCACATTGCCTTGTGGAAGTGCAGCATTTGTTCAACACAAACAAACCGGTTTCGACCTTCAATGTCTCATCAGCAGTCAACTAAATTGGGTCTTAGCCAACAAACGTCTGGCAGTTCAACAGCATTGCTTCAAACAAGCCCCACTCTGATTTAAAGCTTTCGTGACTGCAGTGATTCATATTATTGGTTCTTTCGGTAAAGTAACGTTGAAGGGAAACAATAAAATAATAAAATACATATAATAAAATTCTCACGACGTTTCGACTGCAACACAAGCAGTCATCATCAGGTGTGAAAAACAACGGCAAGAACATTTGAATAAGTGGCAGTTTGTATTTATTTATTTTTAAGCGTTAGCGCCACGGATAGCGATTTGACAGTTTGTTTAGATGGACGAGTCAATCTATGTTCGGAAGAGGGGTGAGACGAAAAAGTAATGTATGCTGTCTGAAAGCCACCATAAGCGTGAACAATCAATTAAGACCCGAAATGGTTTATCAAATCCTTCCAATGATTGCTAAGCCAGAATCCATCTTCTCGGTTAAAATTGTCTCTGTGTTTGTATATGTGGATAGCCTCATGAACGAATCTCTCATGGTAGCCAGATGGCTTGCAAAGAACCTCTGTCTAGGAGAAATCAATGTCATGTGAGCCTACTGAATTATAACAGTGATCTGCAACGGCCGAGGTGTTGGTCCTACGGTGTTTAAGGTCTGCTTTGTGCTCACGAATGTGGTTCGAGACATGTCGTTTGCTTTCTCCAATGTAACTACTACCACAGAGGCAACTTAGTTTGTAGACACCAGGGTACTGTATGTCTGGAATCACATCTTTTACAGACAGAACCAAATCACGGATTTTATGTAATGTGTTGAAACGGACCTGGATCTTGTGTAAAATAGAACATAACAACAAAATTAAAGAATTACTCTACAATGGCAGCTATACAAAAATAAAAAGAGATCCCACCAACAGCCTCTTCACACAAACCAACAAAATAATTTCTGATTCAACCGCATTAATTGATCAAACTAAACAGTTTTCGTTGAAACCTTCTACTGCCAGGCCACCAAGATTATACGGCTTACCAAAAATACATAAAGTAGATACACCCCTTCGTCCCATCGTCTCTACTATCAACTCCCCCACCTACAAACTGGCTCGTTTTCTGTCTGAAATCCTGCGGCCTTTCACTGGAAAACCACCTCTGCGGTACAAAATTCTACTCACCTGGTATCGACAATCAAGTGTATTTCCCTGTCCCCAGACGACCTGCTTGTCAGTTTTGATGTAGTTTCCTTATTCACCAAAGTTCCTGTGCCTGACACCATCGCAATCATTGAAGACTTGGTTCATCAAGGACTAAACACTGAGGTACCCCCCCCCTGGTGAGACACTGCTTAACCAATACATACTTCACTTGGAATGGAACTTTCTACAAACAAACTGAGGGCACCCCAATGGGCTCCCCCCATCTCCGGTTATAGCCAACATTTTCATGGAGAAATTTGAGACTGACGCCATTCAGACTGCCACTCTGCACCCAACCTTATGGAAGAGGTACGTGGATGACACTTTTGTCATCTGGCCACATGGCCGGCCTGCTCTAGACCAATTCTTCGACCACATCAATTCCATACACCCAGCCATCAGATTTACCATGGAAGTCGAAACAGTAGCAAGCTACCTTTTTTGGATGTCCTAATAAAAAAGAGACCTGATGGTTCAATGAGCCACTCTGTCTACAGGAAAGCTACCCATACGGATGCTTATCTGAAACCGGATTCCCACCACCATCCATCACAGAAGAATTCTCTCATCAAAACTCTGCACCATAGAGCCCAATGCATATCCGACCAGGAACACATAGGTAGTGAACTCGAGCACGTACACCAAGCTCTTAAGGCTAATGGTTACTCCGACTATACAATCCACAAAGCTATCACTCAAACCATGAAGAAGGACCCTCTTGAGGAGCCTTTCAAAACTATCACTTTACCCTACATTGCGGGGATCACAAAAAATATCTCCAAAATCTTGAATAAACACAAGATCTAGGTCCGTTTCAACACCTAACATAAAATCCGTGATCTGGTTCCGTCTGTAAAAGATGTGATTCCGGACATACAGTACCCTGGTGTCTACAAACTAAGTTGCCTCTGTGGTAGTAGTTACATTGGAGAAATAAATCAAACGACATGTCTCGGACCGCATTCGTGAACACAAAGCAGACCTTAAACACGGTAGGACCAACACCTCGGCCGTTGCAGATCACTGTTATAATTCAGTAGGTTCACATGACATTGATTTCTCCAAAACAGAGGTTCTTTGGAAGCCATCTGGCTACCATGAGAGATACAAACACAGAGACAATTTCAACCGAGAAGATGGATTCTGGCTTAGCAATTATTGGAAGGATTTGATAAACCATTTCAGGTCTTAATTGATTGTTCACGCTTACGGTGTCTTTCAGACAGCATACATTATTTTTCGTCTCCCCCCTCCTCTTTTACGAACATAGACGGACTCGTCCTTCTAAACAAACTGTGAAATCGCTCTCCGTGGTGCTAACGCTTAAAAATAAATAAATACAAACCGCAACTTCTTTCAAATGTTCTTGCCGTTGGTTTTCACACCTGATGATGACTGCTTGTGTTGCAGTCGAAACGTCGTGAGAATTTTATTGTTTTATATATATTTTATTATTTTATTGTTTCCCTTCAACGTGACTTTACCGAAAGAACCAAGAATATAAGCCCCACTCTGCCGAGACGCTGGATGTCGAAACAGCGAATAGAGTTTGCTTGTGTTCAAACGACGGCACTTTATGATATCAATCCAAGCACATTTGAACAAAAACCCTCAAAACAAACTGCGGGACTTACGCCCCCCCGCCCTCATCCCGCCCGACCACCGCGCCCTCTATCTCGGCCGCGAATCTAGGAAACGTCGAGGCTATCCAGGAATCCCTAGGCCCTTGCGTTCACAAGGTGCGTGGAGAAGCGAGCCCGGGCGGTGAAGGTTGGTGGTGGTGAGGCGGCGTGAGGTGATAAATCTGCAGCTCACCTCCATGCCGGCGCTTCTAGGAGCCCTGCGGAGACAGCGCTGAGACAGCGCGGAGCGCGGCGAGAGTCGAACCAGGAATCCGCGCAGCCTACCCCCGGGTTCCGGGTGTGACGTAGAGACTCGTGACGTCACCCGCCGGGAATGCCACGCGGCTGGTGACGTCACGTGTTGTGATAATCCACTGCTGGATGATACATTCAGAAACTATAAAACATTAACTACTGTTTTTAGTTGACCAGATAAGGCCCCACCGAGCTATCTAGCTCTTTTTCACAAGCGACCTGGCTATCACAAATGATAGCTCAACGTAGTGACTTATCGCGTGGAAATGTATATCAACCAAATACTCTAAACGCGTGATGTTGATTCTAAATTTGGAGGGAAAACCCGGAGGATTCGGAAAAAAATCCACGCGACCATTGGGAGAGAAAACTCCATATATACAGCAGGCGTCAGGGTCGGGATCGAATCCACGACCTCCTGCATACCAGGCGAGGTAGTTCATATCACGCCGCCCCTGCAATGCTATTTCATGAAACTACCATGACATTATTTTTATATTTTTGCAACGAACGAGGACCCACATCCTTGATTCAAGCAACCCTGACTGGTGTTGAGGCACTGAATGTCGAAATCGGGTTTGCTTGTGTTGAACCAACGCAGCTGAAATGATGCACTCCAGGAAGCATGTGTGGCTGATAGGATGCGTGTACAAAAACCTTTTATAGATTGAGAAAGTGCCCAGAGCGATCTGTTTTCTGGGTGAAGTCTCACGCGCATATCACTGGCACTGCAGCGGTGACATCCAGTTTTACCCCAATGACGGAGGCCCTCCAAGCTCAGAAAGACCCCAGAATGATCAACATGAAATACAGTATATTTTTTTCATTTTATTGCCAAAGATCTCAGGTCACCGTTCAATTTTATTCTGCAAGCCAATGTGTCAACTCGATACATAAACTCATATTGTGTTTAAGCAAGCCTGGCTCTCTGCTGATGAGCCAATGAATGTTGCACCAATGTTGCTAAGATGCAATCCCAGAAGGCTGTGTGATTGATGGGATGTGTAAAAATACACTTTGTGGAACAGATATCGGGAGAAAATTGTCTCCGCTTGTATTGTTGCTTGTGGTTAGCGAGCCTCGCTACAAACCTGGCAACCCGAGTTTAGCTCCCACTGACGGCCAACACCAGTGACGAATATCTGAACCAGTCCTGAGCCTCCTCTAGGTTGACTCAGCCTCAAATGAGGACCTGGCTTGTAAACATCGCCATGAGGGAGACAAAGGCGGTCGGGCGTGGTGCTGGCCACCCACCCCCTCGTGTGCCGTACCGGGCTTCATAGGTGCTAACAGCACTTGCCTGAACGGTCTGTTAAGGGGCCGTCCATAAATGACGTCACGCACCTGGGGGGGGTCAGACATTTGTGACGATGTGTGACGGGAGGGGGGGTTGAGAAATGAGACGTCACATCAAAATGCGCAACTTTAAATAAATATAGACACGTTCTACTTAAAGACTTTTTAATAAATGTTTTCTCCAACATCAAAGTGCAGCGCCACATTAAATACGCACTACAATGACAATAGTTTAAAGCGATTTGAAGCATGTAAAAAAATGGGGGGGGCAGAGCTTTGTGACGTCATATTTGAGGGGGGCAGAGTTTTGTGACGTCATATTTGAGGGGGGGTCTGATTTTTGTGACGCAGTGTGACGAAGGGGGGGGGGGTCAAAATCGTCAAAAATCGCGTGACGTCATTTATGGACGGCCCCTAAGGTTGTACGGTGGATCGTTATCTTTGTACTCCACAATGACGCCGATTACTGATAAGTGATGTTGATGTCTTGCTGTGGGATTACATCTCAGCACGGGTAATGTTGTTGAATGTTTCTATGCTTAATTTACAATTCTGTAATGCTGTTTTTGCTGATTTCTTTTTTTCTGCTCCGATTTGTTTGATTTCTTGCTGCACCTTGTTTGAATTGCATTACTTTTGTCCTTTTGATGACCCAGATCACTCTTAAAAATGATGTATCCTGGTGTCGTTGAGATATCTGGTTAAACAAATATACTTTAAATCCAAGGTCGGTACACTGAGGTTGGTACACACGCATGCGCGTGACCTGGTCTCATAGGTGCAGTGACGTCCGCTGTAGCACCGGAGACTCAATTATAGAGAGCGGCTCTAAATTATAGAGAGCGGTCGTCAAAATGAGTACCCCTTCATGGTTAAGTCAGCAGTGATTTTCCTATGGAGAGACTCGCCCCCGCTATGGTAATGTGTAATTTCTAATACTGGCTCAGTGCTAATTACAAGAGATGAGCACCAATGCCTCGATGCTCATTGGAGTAGACATCACTCGCTTGTTTTTGTTACCATCAGTGAAAATCATATTGTGAAACTTTCATGTTGGTTACTTTACATTCTGGAAACCAGTTTTTTCTGGCTACTTTGTTAATCGCCTTGATATTGTTTGTTTTATCCAGTTTCTATTGTTTTTTTTCCAGTTGTTTTGCAATTTGTATTACATATTGGCACAAGGTCATCGTGCTAAAGAAGCAATGATGTTTCGAGCATCTCAATGGGTTTAGTTCATCTCCTGATAAAATAAAAAAAGCCTGACTGCATCGTGTCACAAACCCATCATCACTCCAGGGTCGAAAAAAATTGTTACTTCATGGTAAAGTCAGCAGTGATCGTCCTATAGAGAAAACACACCCCAGAGCCGGATATAGAAACGTCCCAAGGGGGAGCAGAAGTCCCCAAATTTCAAGAATTTGAAATAAATTTATATTCATGAACTTTCCATGTACGTTCTCTCATAGCATTGATCTTGGATATACTTGCCCCCTGCCATAAGAAAGTGGCATTTCACCACTGGCTCAGTGAGGGATGACCAACCACCTCAATGCTCATTTGAGCAGGTGATCACTGTAACCTGGTAACCTGTTGACCTGTTTGTTGGGGGACTGGACGGTCACGCTGGGGTTGAATTGTCACGATGAGCGACCAAAGCGTTTGTAGAACTTTCCGAGGGCCGCCTGGCTGATGATGACAGAGACGTGGGCGGTGGATGACTCGGGGATCACTCGCACATCCTGAACCGCGGCCTCGCGGTACAGCCAGCTGCTCACGCACGCACAGAAAGACAGAGATCCCCCATGTAGCCTTTTCAGGCTGCTGAGGTAAGGGCTGTTGGTGAGGACTATAAAGGCGCCCGGTGGCGTGATGTTCACTGCCTCGCCTGGTATACAGGTCGTGGGATCGATCCGACTAACACAGTTTGCATGTTCACCCACTCAACCACTCACGCACAAACAAAGATCCCCCATATGGTCTTTGACAGACTGTTGGAGCAAGTGCTGTTATCAGGCACCGATGAAAGTCAGCATGGCACACGAGGGGGTGGGTGGCCAGCACCATGCCCCGTCACCTTTGTCTCCCTCGTAACAATGCTTACACACCGCACCAGGTACTCGTTTGAGGTTGAGTCGACCTAGGGGAGGCCCAGGACTGGTTCAGATAATCGTCACTGGTGTTGGCCGTGAGCAGGAAATTAATTCTAGTCATCGGGTTCTTAGCGTAGCGTACTAACCGCTGCACTCCCGATCCCTATACACACAGCACACAATAATTGACAATACTTTAGTACATTTGGCATTTGGCACTATCATTCTTGTAATGCACGGACATCATCACGAAGGTGACATATTTCACATACATAGTCTGCAGTAGTTTCACAGTAGGGGGCGATGTTGCTACGTGTAATTCCCATTGAGTAATTTGGGATGTCATTTTTCAAATTTGGACAATGACGCCAGCACACAATGGCGAATTCCATCGCGGGATCTTTAACGTGCCCATTCAGGCCGACGGCGCACAGAACGTCACGGTTAATACACAACGCAGCAGTAATGACCAGGGGTGTCGTGGGCATACCATTGAACACGTTAGTCGAGTATAATAATGCGTTCATTGCTGTGGTGTTTGTTTAGCAAATATATTAATCGAAATGAATTTGGCACTACAGACAGGAGTTAAACTTGACTTGACAGCTATTGAACAATATTATTATCAGAGTTGTCTCTTTTGTTTGCATTTTGACTGCTTGTGTTGTGGTTATTGTAAACATGATGCCTTGAATAAAGGTGTCAGTTTTTGTGCCAGTTAAAAAGGTAAAACCTATTTCTATATCTTGTTACTGGCAAAGGAGGTCTCATAATGAGAACCCTGTAAAAAGGCCTTGAGGTTGGCTCAATGTGCTGGAGAGATTCCCTCCCTCCTCCAGGTGCTAATTTTACTGATCAGCTGCTCCGCACGCGCAGTGGCACACGAGGCAAAACATAAACTACCCTCGTCTCTGAAGGAGAACAGGTTGATGTCCAAGCTGTGGAGGTCCAATTACATTGGTAAAGTATCTCTCTCTCCATTATCTCACAAAACTAGAGGGGATTTCTATTACTCATGGAAAAGATCAGAATGTAAATACATAATCCGTATACAGTGGTCAATTCATGATGTTAGAATATACACGCATGCCACCATTAAAGTGTGGGCGGACCAGCGGTGGCTACGGCACCGCGTGGAGATTCACGTCGGCCGAGTGTGATAGCTCGTGTCATTGGACAGTCATTGAACAAACAAAATCACGAGTTAATCTTGTACATAAACTGGCTAGAACAACATGTCAAGCAAATGCTCCAGACGGCCAACACAGCACTAGTCTTCTCTGCAGCAGAATATCGCACCGCAGCCTTGAGCAAAACCGTGCACACGAAGCTGGTGGATACACAACTAAATGCAAACATGAGGATCATCTCAGGGACGCTAAAGAGCACACCGCTGCCATGACTTCCGGTCCTCCCAAACATCACTCCTCCGCAGCTCCGCCGCGATGCCGCGGGTGTGTGGGAGTACCGTGAGGCCATCAGAAATCCAAACCTTATAACAAGGACATTTTTTACTTAAGACTTTCGTGAATGCAGGAATTCATACTCTATGGTTCTTTCAATGAAGTCAGTGGTCGTCATCAGGAACAGGGAGGTTGGCCTCTGACGGCAAGCTGTTTATAAGGTGTAATGAGCGACTTCCGCGACGTCTTGTAGAGGATACTCTCCTCTTTATTCACATTCGGGCACACCACAGGCCAACCTTATCCTCATTGTTCTCCGAGTACACACGTAGATATTAGCATCCCTACAATTTACACGTGGTTGGTCCCACAGCGTGGTTCCGTCTGCCCACTCCCGGCCTCGCCGCTGGTTGACGGCGTACCCTTGAGGGTGATGGGACTTCGCAGGAGATCTGCCACGTGGCCGACGACGGAGAGAGATGACGGTGAGCAGCAACGCAGTCTGGACCTAAGGCTCCCCACACCGACCACGAGTCCTCCTCCGCCTCCGCTTATATTGCCGCAGGCGTGGCTAGGCTTCGCCTCCGGCCATGCCCTCTTGTGGAACCTTCTAGCCAGTTGCCGGAGTATCTCAGCCAGCCCCGCCCTTTACCTTTGGCCCAGATACCTCTCCCTTTGGGATTGGATGTTTATAGTGGTGGCTGTACCCGTGCTTCCCTTTTCCAACCAGTAGATGTCGCTCTGTCATTACAAAGGTTTAGAGATGGGCGGGGCAGCTAATGTTAATGTAGGAGAAAGCTCCGACACCGGCAGTAGGTCTACACCAATCAAAGCATTGCACCTCGCTCCATACACCCACACTGTTGATGATGGAGGTTGATAAGAAAACACAAATCAAGTCATGACCCAAAGTGGTTATGACATCTTTCCAATGATTGCTGAGCTTATAACCATCCCCTCGGTTGAAATTGTGTCTGTGTCTATAAATATGGATGGCTTCATGAACTAGTCTTTGTTGATAGCCAGTAGGCTTGCAAAGTACCACCATCTTAAAGAAATACATTTCGTGTGAGCCAGCTGCATTAAAATAATGATCAGCCACGGCAGAAGTATTGGTCCTACCGTGTTTCAAATCTGCCTCATGCTCACGAACACGGTCCGAGACATGTCGCTTAATTTCCCCAATGTAACTGCTGCCACAGATACAGCTTAGTTTGTAGATGCCGGGACATTGCATGTCAGGAATCTTGTCCTTAAAAAGATGGGATGAGATCACGAATTTTACGTACTGTGTTAAATCGGACCTGGAACTTGTGTTTGTTCATGATTTTGGAAATCTTTTTGGTTACCCCTGCTATGTATTGCAAGGTGATGGTTTTGATTGGATCCTCAGATGGCTCCTTTCTCACAGTTGGGGTGATGGCTTTGCGGATTGTGTAGTCAAGAGTATCCATTCGCCTTGAGAGCTTGGTGTACGTGTTTGAGTTCACTGGTTAGATGTTCATGATCGGAGATACATTGAGCTCTATGGTGTAGCGTTTTTATAAGGGAATTATTCTGGGATGGGTGGTGGTGGAAATCAGGTTTTAGGTAGGCGTCAGTATGGGTTACTTTCCTGTAGACATAATGACTCATTGAGCCATCAGGTCTCTTTTTGATTAGGATATCCAAGAAAGGTAGCATGCCATCCTTTTTTACCTCCATGGTGAATGTGATGGCTGGGTGTATGGAATTGATGTGATTGAGGAATTGGTTCAGAGCCGGTCGGCCATGTGCCCAGATGATAAACGTGTCATCCCTGTACCTCTTCCACAAGGACGGGCGTAGAGTGGATGCCTGGATGGCTTCCTCAAATTTTTCCATAAAAATATTGTCTATAACCGGAGATAAGGGAGAACCCATTAGGGTGCCTTCAGTTTGTTTGTAAAATCTTCCATTCCTGATGAAGCATGTATTGGTGAGGCAGTGTCTCACCAGGGCAAGTACATCAGCATTCAATCCTTGTTGGACCAATTCCTCAATGAAACGAGGACATCTCCTTGCAACTAACGCAGAGGTGGCTCAAATCCAGAAAACCTTTCTGGCAATATGCAAAGAACCTCCATGATAACAAGACCACTGAAGCATGATGGAGGGAAGCCTGGGGCAAAAAACACCAACCTGCTGCAGAAATCCATCGTCAGGGACCCCACAATCCTCCAACCAGGATCTAACCTATCGAGGAAGATCCTGGTCCTCTTTGAATTGGATCCAGACACTCGATGGAAGTGGATACTTTCTCCATAATGGAAAATTCACGAGAGTCCAGTTTGCGACTGTGGTGGTGCGACATCTAAGGCCGTGCAATATATCGTGAACAACTGCCCAATCAAATCATTCAATGGAGTTCTGATACAAATCCACGCGGCTACTCCTGTAGCAGTTGAATGTATATCAAATCTCGACATCAATTTGTAATATGTTGCAAGCCCCAAAAATGCCACACGAAAGAAGATTGGACAGCCACCCCAATCATGATACGTGGCCCTTATGCCATCACAAAGACAAAGAGCCACCCCACTGGATGTGCTAGTGGAAGGCAGTGGATAAGCAGAAGACAGATAAGCTGTAACAAAGGTGTCGTAAGTTAATAGCAGTGAGCTTTCGATGAGCTTCAGGAGTTGAGAAGCTGAACTAATACAGCTGTGGCGTTGTTTAGAAGGAGATTTGAAGATCTGCCATTGCTGAAGCCTCGATGTGTAAAGAGTCTATGTGACCTTTTTGCCAGTATCGAAGTATGCAAAACAAGAACAAGTTTTACCCTTTCTGGTAATAATACAGGAGGTGCAAGGAATCAAGTCTGCATTAACCACACGTACTCGTGGCAAAACATGCAAACAAACATGCTCTGATAATATATGCATGGTTCTTTTGGCGTTCTCTGGTCTGACACGGGTGAGACAAGAACATAAAGAAAGTGTTTGAGAATGAGTGGAGATAAGTATGCCTCAAGGAGAAGATCCACAAAGAGAGGATACCCAATTTCACTGAACTTTGCGAATCACGTCACAAGCCGTAATCAGCACAAGCTAAATAGCGACTTCATAATTGCAAGTCTGTGGACTCTCATCACAGTGAATATATATGTGAAGCTGTCACCCAACATGGAGAGCGAGTGCTGCGCAGTCTACATCCATGAGGAGATCGTTGCTGCACTTCAACAGAGTTCAGCGCTGACAGCGCCGCCATTGCTGCTATGTCGTCATTAACGGAACATGACTGCCTCATCACCGTGACGGGGACCATTGTTCGTCAAGCCGCCGGCTGCTGGAGTGTGGCTGTGTCGCTGTAGCACCTCACTGTTAACATTGATCAGTGAGAATTGTGTGGCACGACTCCTACAGGCAAGTGAAGACGGCTGCTCATCGACTGCGACTGTGGTTACCGGAATGAGCTTGAAGTCCATTCATCGATAAGTATCACAACTGTACTTCGGGTCCGTCGTACCAAGTCCTTATTTATTTTGAATCCAGCATGTCTTCAGAGGCTACTACAGCTGCAGCGTTCTGGAGGTTTACAAGCATTTTCTGCACTTAGGCCCCAGCTGCCGGGTTCGAACTGCGAACCTCTGCAAAAAGCGGTGAACGATAGACACCACACGATGCACACCAGAAATAAAGACAAAGATCCCCCATATAGCCTTAACAGACTGTTGGGGCAAGTGCTGTTTGCGAGGGTGGGTGGCCAGCACCACACCTGGCCGCCTTTGTCTCCCTGGTAGTGATGTTTACACACCGCACCAGGTACTCAATTTAGGCTGAGTCGACCTAGGGGAGGGCCAGGACCAGTTTAGATAATCGTCACTGGTGGAGACCGTGAGTGTAAATCGAACTCGGGCCACCGGGTTCGTAGCGCAGTGTGCTAATCACTACACGACTGCACCCCAAAGATACACACCACACACACTCACGCCAGATGCTCCCCTTCCAGTGGAATGCTGAGTTCCATGACGGCCTTATTTGTTGCAATGAGCACAGCCTCCTGTACTCGCTCCTTGAGCTCCTCCAGACCCCATTCGTGCAGCGCGGACACCTGAACCCCAACCCCAGCAGACAGCTCCCTTCTGGGGTCACAGGGGGTACACGGGTGGGGGGAGATCGTAGGGGACAGAGTTAATGTAAAAAGGCCATTGCACCTGATACCACTCCTCCCCCAACGCCAGGTGCTTGTGACCCTGTTGCACGTGGCTTGTAACCCAACATGTTGGGGAAAAGCTAAACTACTAACCTATTAAATTCAAAGCTTTCGTGACTGCAGAAATTTCTCTTTGGTTCGTTCAGTAAAGTCACATAGAAAATCAAATCAAATAATAATAGAATACGACCTTTCGATTGCAACACAAGCAACCGTCATCAGGTAAGAATGAATGAGATAAAAAACATAGTAAACTTAGAAACACAATGCAACACAAGACAGAGAGCCGGACAACACAACAGCCAACACCCTACCTGGCTGAGCGTGGTCAGCCAGGTGGGGTGTCGTATTCTGTTATTATTTGATTTTATTTTCTACGTGACTTTACCGAAAGAACCAAAGAGTACTAAACTATTTCTAATTAACCAGGTAAGGTCCACTGAGCTATGTAGCTCATTTCTGTGAGCATCACTCGTCTGCCCTCAGCTATTTTTGTAGGGCGACTGCCTCGAACTGCCCAGTAGCGTCCGTCACGAGCCTCTTCCATAGAGGTCGATCTTGACACCGCTGGTACCAGTCTTCAGCAAGACCACGTAGCTCCACATCCTCCCGTTCCGCAAAAGTCTTTCTCTTCTCCAGCCTGTGTCGTGCCCATTTAGCCCCCTCTATCCGGCCAAACAAAAGCTGCTTGGGCATGCGGTGGCTGTGCATTTAGGCTATGTGCCTTGCCTGCCGGAGTAACTCCCGAATGGGAATGTGTACAGATTTTTCAAACCGCTCCACACACACACACATCGCACATACACGAGGTACTTGTGTACATGCACTGCTGGACCCTCACTGCGGCATGAGGTCGATTTTGTTGTGAACCTCGAGGATGCGAGAGCGCGCGGCCTCCGAGAGGCCAAGTTGGGCGAGCACATGGAGCACCGTGTCCCTCTGCCTCTCCGTGTCCGTGTTGCTGATGTCTCGCACATGCACGATCACGTCCTGCACACACACACACAGGTGTGGCGGTTGCAGACTCCAGGATTCCGTTTTCTGCTCATTGTCACCATACTCGAAGAGAAAATGTTGTTTAATCACAATATATAGTCAAGTCCTGCAATTTTCATATCAGGGCTCTACGACACATTCAACCACTCTTGAGTCGTGACATAGCCGAGACGATGGCACGTAGCATAGTATGGACAAGGCTCGATTATTGAAACTCACTACGGGACGTCTGGCAAAAAACATTCGCTAGCTGCAACGTGTACAACATTCTTTGGTACTGCAAGATCTGACCATGTTCGTCCAGTGCTCGCCAAGCTGTAATGGCTTCAGTTTGCTGAACAAATACATCATTAGGTTACACTCATCACACACAAAATGCTTGCCACCAATGAACCACAATACCTTGCTGATCTCATCAATGAACACCACGCAAACTCTGGTCATCTTCACAGTGGCCGTCGAACAAAGACGGTCACTGCATCGCGCGCTTTCTAATGTGCGTCTGCGGCCATCTGGAATGCTCCAGTTTGAAAACTCATTTAATTTGAACTGTGCTTAGCTAGTTGTCCTTTCCCCCGCAACTTCGAATAGAATGGTTGGCTACGTACGGTGCAAAAGAAGTTCAACGTACATACATACACACACAACAAAGATCACCCTATAGACTGCTGAGGGAAAGTGCGCTGTAAGCAAGCACATATGAAGGCCGGCACGGCACATGAATGGGTCGTTGGACAAAACCGTGCCCGGCCACCTTTGCCTCCCGAGTGCCAATGTTTCCACACCACAGCAGGTAGTCATGTATGGCTGAGATGACCTAGGGTAGGTACAGGACTAATTCAATTAATTGTCAGTTGTTGGTCTTGAGGAGGTCGCCAGGCTCCGCAGCGCTGTGTGCTAACCACTGTGCCACCGCTCCATCTCAAAGTCACAAAATACAAATACCCCCCGAATAGCCTTAACAGACTGTTGGGGAAAGTGTTGTTCACGAGTACCTATAAAGGCCGGCATGGCACACGAGGGGGTGGGTGGCCAGTACCATGCCCGGCCGCCTGTCTCACAACAACAACCGCCATTCGCCGCTAAGTGGCGGTGACGTCACCACAACGCTTGTGCCAGGCTATATGCACCTTGTGCCACGTGAAGTGTTGAACGCCTGATGGCAGGTGGTCACGGGGCAGACCCAGGTGCCACGGGTCAACTGACTGAGATGACTGGCTGATGCACCACCTGTGCTCCCTACTGTGCCAACTTGCTGTGCTTTAACAACCCGGCGCTCTGCTCGTTGTTGTGAGCGTCGCTCCTCTGCCCTCCGTTGTTGGAGGGCGACTGCCTCCAATTGCCTAGAAGCATCCTTCACAGAGGCCGATATTGACACAGCTGGTACCAGTAAATTAGCGAGACTAATCAGCTTCATATACTCCTGGACCAGATCTAGCCCATGCCACACCTGTTTAAGCCCCTCTATCAGGCCAAACAGAAGCTGCAAGGACATGAGGTGGCTGGGAATGCTGGCTACATGACTCACCCAACGCAGCTTAGCCTGCAGGAGTTCACTGGCAGGACTGTGTCCAGATATTTCAAGGATCTGCGAGCTCTTCCCACAATCCAGTCTGGTTACACACAGGATGGATCACAGACAGACCATCCTGTGTGTAGATGTTCCTTTAAAGGGCTCCACGCTTCGTAGTCATAGAAAATAGGGTGCATAAACTGGAGCGATAGGCCAGGTAGCTTCCACACATATTGTTATGCAGTTGAAGAAAAGATGATGCCGCTTGACTGATTCAGAGTGAGATCTCGGCTACCAATTATGCACACTGGTAAGGTACAGAAACTTCTCCACTATCACAAACATACACACACCGACCCGACCACTGACCAACCCAACCATCCAATAGCCATCATCCATCCACAAACCCACCCAACCAATTAACTTACCATCAATATAATTCACACATTCACCTATCCACCATACTACCCAAACAGGAGACCACACACCCGCTCATCCATACACCCATTTATCCACTGAGAAAGAACCCCTGTAAAAGACTTAAACAGATTGTTGAAGCAAGTTCTATTCGCAAGCATCTATGAGGGATGTAACGGTTCAACACCACACCTGACCACCTTTGTCTTCCCAATGCTGATATTTACACACTGCCCCAGCTACTCATATGAGGCTGAGTTTATTTTGGGGAGTTCAAGGACGGATTCAGATATTTCATCACCGATGATGGCCGTGAAAGCGAATCGAACTCGGGTCGCTGGGTTCGTAGCACGCTAACCGCTACACTACCGCTCCCACACAAATCCACTTACCCACGAACTCACCCATGAACTCACCCACCCACTCATCCACCCACCCGCACGCACGCCGGCCCACCCGCATGCACGCCGGCCCACCCGCATGCACGCCGACCCACCCACCCATCCACCCCCTCACCCACCCACCCCCTCACTCACTCACCCACCCACCCTCCCACTCACCCACCCACCTACTCACCCACTCACCCACCCGCGTGCACGCCGACCCACCCACCCACCCCCTCACCCATCCACCCACCCCCTCACCGATCCACCCACACCCTCACCCATCCACCCACCCCCTCACCCATCCACTCACCCCCTCACCCACCCATCCACCCACCTACCCACCCCCTCACTCACCCACCCACCCGCCCGCGCACCGAGTGCAGGACGTCCTCGAGGGTGGCGGAGAATGCGTGGACGAGGCCATGGGGCAGGCGCGAGAGGAAGCCCACGGTGTCCACGTAGAGAGCCGTGGTGCGGCCCGGCAGGAGACCCGCGTGTGCTGTCACATCCAGCGTCGCGAACACTGCGTCGTGTGGCTCCAGCGATAGGTCGTGTGTCAGGGCACGTGCCAACGTCGTCTTGCCTGGGATCACAGACGGTAGGGGCACAGGCACGAGGGGAGCGAGTTGCAGGGGAGTGCAGGAGAGTGAATGGGAGTCTTGTGAGACCGTATGTAGCCAACCGTGTTAATCGGAGGTGCAGGACAACTATACACAAAAAGCAGTTATGAGGAAATAAATGCTCAACCTAGATGATTTAAGAGTTAATAGCTCCAATGTCTTACTAATATTGGAAGGAAAAGCATTCCAGACGGCCGCAGAAGCGCATCTGAAAGCGTGCGATGCGGTGACCGTCTTTGTTCGATGGTTAGCCAAAAGCCACTGTACAGTGGACTCACTGGAGTGGGCGAGCGGTGGACTGACCGAAATGGGCGAGCAGTAGACTCACCAGAGTTGGTGTAGCCGACCAGCGCCACGACGGGCAGCTCTGCCCGGCTGCGCTGGCTGCGCAGAAGGCTGCGCTTGCGTGCTACAGTGCCGAGCGCACGCCGCAGCCGCTGCTCACGCTGCTCCAGCACGCGGCGCTGCGTTTCCAGCGCCGTCTCCCCTGGCAGCGCAGACGCAGATGCACGCCCGGACGCGTCAAAAACACGGGGAGTGCCGCTGAGCTCTCTCTCAGCCGCAAGCTGTTGGCTGGGATATAGCAATCGTCATCCTCACGATCATGAGGAGGAATCCCATGAGCTATAAAGCTCTTTTTCACAGATATCCAGTTAGGGGCACGGGCTTCACAACATTACAACAAATACAAAAACACGATAGGAGTTCAAACTATAGGAAAGGTAAATAAATAACTTTTCAAAAAATATATATACAAAAAAAACTAAACTATTTTTATCCTACCAGGTAAGGCCTCCTGGTGACAGGGGAGGGGACCGACGACTGCCTGGAACTCACAGTCTCTAAACCCTCACTGCCAAGCTCCCAAAACTCGTTACCTTGTTGTGACGGTCCAAAACCACTGCGCCACGAATCCACCCAATGGGTATGAATCTAATACCGTGCTGACAAGCAGCAAAGCACATGTGAGGGAGGTATGCGTCGCGGTTCTCACCTGGGCCTTTCAAATACCGCGATCCTCCTCCTTGCTGGTCTAGATGTTTATGCTCCTTTCGCATACGAGATCTACAAGTCAAATGAAAAATAAAAATTAGTTTTTACCCAGTTGCTTAGCACAGGCCCAAAAGCCAAAAGCGTCTAGTAGCCAGCAACAAACAATGTTATTTAAGGTAATAATAGATAAGAGTGAAACAGGTTTCATTAACTGAGCAAGGTTATTTTCTATAAGAACTTGGGTGAAAGGTGAGATGGCAAAGAGAGAATTCCAATCTGCAGCAGTGCGAGGCAAGAAGCAGAAAGAGAAGTGTTGTGGTCTGCAGTGTGGTGTGGGTGAGTTGATGAGTGAGTGGATAAGTGTGCATGTGTTGTTGTGACCAGCAATTTGGTGAGTGAATCGGTGAGTGGATGCAGTGAATGGGTGAGCAGGTGGGTACGTTAGTGAGTGAGTAAATGCTTGAGCGAGCCAGTGAGTGGATGAGTGTGTGTGTGCGTTGTTGTGACCTGCAGTGTGGTGAATAACTGGGTGAGTGCACGTAATGTATGGGTGAGCAGGTGGGTTCATGAGTGGGTGAGTAATTCAATGTGTGAACGAGCTAGTGAGTAGATGAGTGTGCATGTGTTGCTATGACCCGCAGTGTGGTGAGTTAATGGGTGAGTGGATGCTGTTAATGGGTGAGCAGGTGGGTATGTGAGTGGATAATTCAATGCATGAGCAAGCCAGTGAGCGGGTGAGTGTGTGTGTGTTGTTTTGACCTGCAGTGTGGTGAGTAAACAGGTGAGTGGATACAGTGAATGGGTGAGCAGGTGGGTATTTGAGTGAGTGGGTGAGATGAGTGTGCGCGTGTTGTGATGACCTGCAGTGTGGTGGTAGAACACGGTGTGGATGAGATGAAGCAGTCAGTCCGGCAGACCATCTCCTCAGCATGAAATAAACCAGTGAAGTTTGCAGGAGCAGGTAACCACAGTAGTAACGATAGAAGCACGATACGGAGACGACTGACCGCCAGCGAGCAACTGGAGTGAGTTGGCGAGTTCTGGATCTGATATTTGTTTTTTTACCATTTTATCTGGCAACAAAACTGACACCTTTTTTACAAGGAGTCATGTTTACATTGACCACAATACCTGCGGTCGGAACGCAAACAAAAAACAACTCTGATAATGTATGCACTGTCCTTTAAATTGATTGGTCCACACCCGAGACAGCTTCTTTAGAGCCTCGTCTCACATGGTGTTTGACCAGAAGACGCCAAAAGGCGCACAACTCAAAGGCAATGCACCATCAGAGTATGAGAGCTCGGGGTAAGCATTTACACCAATGGAAACCTCATTTGCCAGTAACAAAATATGATAATTGTTTTTTTACCCTTTTATCTGGCAACAAAACTGACACCTTTTTAACAAGGAGTCATGTTTACATTGACCACAATACCTGTGGTCGGAACGCAAACAAAAAACAACTCTGATAATGTATGCACTGTCCTTTAAATTGATTGGTCTACACCCGAGACAGCTTTCTTTAGAGCCTCGTCTCACATGGTGTTGGACCAGAAGACGCCAAAAGGCGCACAACTCAAAGGCAATGCACCATCAGAGTATGAGAGCTGGCAAATGAGGTTTCCAATGGTGTAAATGCTTAACCCGAGCTCTCATACTCTGATGGTGCATTGCCTTTGAGTTGTGCACCTTTTGGCGTCTTCTGGTCCAACACCATGTGAGACGAGGCTCTGAACAAAGCTGTCTCGGGTGTGGACCAATCAATTTAAAGGACAGTGCATACATTATCAGAGTTGTTGTTTTTTGTTTGCGTTCCGACCGCAGGTATTGTGGTCAATGTAAACATGACTCCTTGTAAAAAAGGTGTCAGTTTTGTTGCCAGATAAAAGGGTAAAAAAACAATTATCACATTTTGTTACTGGCAAATGAGGTTTCCATTGGTGAGTTCTGGATTGTGAGTCACCCTGACGGTGCTTCACTCTGAACTGTATCAGGTACGGCAAGGGAAGAACTGGATGCTCCACCCGAGACATGACAACAATTACGAATTATTTAACACGTAAATGTTGTGGCTTGGCTCTCCAACACACCGGTGTGTTGTACAAGTGACAAATTGGCATGTTCTGTTTACAAAGAGCATGCCAATAGTTGGCTGTGTCGTGTAGTGGCGGGTTTTAACGACACATTTATATATTTGCGCGATCTAACCCAAAACATCTCTATTATGTAAATACGAAAGACACGACGTAAGTATAAATATGTACATATTAATAATTAATTATGGTTAACCCTCGTAATTACGATCACAATGTTGCTAATGGTTCTGCTTGCCGCATGAGGGGGATGCTGGCCAGGGCGATCTGTAGTTTGGCCTCGCGTGTCCGCGCGTGCAGTTGGAAGATGCGGAGTACAAGCGAGTAGCGGTCCAGCACAGGCAGGCCCCATGCCTCCTCCAGGCATATCTGTGAGCAAACAATGACAATAGTCCCCCATGTTCAGATAATCGTCACCTGTGTTGACCGTGAGCGGGGAATCGAACCCGGGTTGCCGCGTTCATAGCGCAACACGCTATCCGCTACGCCACTGCTCCCCACCTAACAGCACACAAAGACAAAGATCCCCTGTATAGCCTTAACAGACTCTTTGTTTTTTTTCAGTAAAGTCACGTAGGTATAAAATAAAATAAATTAAATCACGATGTTTCGGGCGCAACACAAGCGTCCATCATCAGGTGGGACAACCACAGCAAGAAACAATTGCTGAAGTGGGTAATTGTGGTTGTCCCACCTGATGACGGACGCTTGTGTTGCTCCCGAAACGTCGTGATTTAAGTTATTTTATTTTATACCTACGTGACTTTACCGAAAGAACCAAAGAGTATGCATCCCTGCAGTCACGAAAACTTCAAATCTAGATCCTTAACAGACTGTTGGGGCAAGTGCTGTTCGTCAGCAGCAGCATCTATGAAGGCCAGTCCGGCACACAAGGGGGTGCAGTTCGCTGCACCATAAGCAGGAGGAAAAGGCGCACACCACCGTGAGAGCCAGATCGGTTAGGGGTGCGGTCTGGGAGGTTAGGAGAACATTAGAGGGTATGTCATTTGTGTTTATGTTATGGCCCAGAAATTCCCATCATTAGCCAGGGCTGCGAGGCCATTTTGGGGGGCAGCTGTGGCAAGGCCCCCCCCCCGCCTCCCCAGCTCCGCCCACCCTTGTGGTCTCAAAGAAGATCATGGGAGACCTCACGGTCACGATCCAAGGTAAAATCGGCCCCATGGTCTTAACCAGCCTCGCAATCCCTCGGATCCCTTGGGTCGCGACCACGAAGATCGGCCAGCTCTACACGGCTCAACGCACGGTCACCAGCTCACGCGTCGGGTTACGCCCAGGGGGCGACTCGTGTGCACCGCGGTCAACCTTCACACTCCACCGCTCACCTCCTGCGCCACAGTGAGTCGCTCCATGTTCACGAAGACGGCCGAGAGGCGAGGAGATGCTCGCACCTTGTCTAGTGGCACACAAAGACAAATATCCCCCCCGATAGCCTATAACAGACCGTCGGGGCAAGTGCTGTTACATTGCACCTAAGGTCAGAATGGCACACGAGGGGGTGGGTGGCCAGCACCACGCCCGGCCGCCTTTGTCTCTCTAGTGGCGATGTTTGCACACCACACCAGGTACTCATTTGAATTGACCTAGGGAAGGCCCAGGAACGGTTCAGATAATCATCACTGGTGTTGACCGTGAGCAGGAATCGAACCCGGTTTGCCGGGTTCATGGCGCAGCGTACTAATCGCTACGCCAACGCTTCTTGCCTAACAGCACACACACTCTCTCTCACACACACACAAACAGTATGATCACTCAACTAGAATTACACACAGCAGCAATCACTGCCTGCTGGAAGGTGAAGGTCACCTCGTGCCACGCAGTCACCTTGTGCCACACAGGGACATCTGCCACTAGGGGTAACCTTTGAGATGTGTTCAGATATAAGTCGCTCATCGCGTGTAAAGGGCTCTGAAAGATGCCCTGGAGTTAAGAACAATAGGTCTATCAAACAAATCATTCACAACCGTAACGTGGATGTATACAGCGTCAAAATGCCATCACACCTCAAGATGTACAGAAGGCAAAGGTGCAGCCATGCAATGTATTGCTCACGAAACTGCTGGCAGAATGGCCTCCAATAGAGCTCTAGAGAACGCCTCAAGAGCAAATTTGTCCTACTCTTCCACACTGGTCACACCTCAGCATGGGTTCCATCCAACTTTTCTGACGTACACCCAATGCCCGCTTGCCAAACACATACAGCAGGCCACTCATTTGTAATAACTTTTACTGCATACCAATTTCCAAATCTAATGATACCGCTCTGTAAATTATTTTGTGGGATTGTTGTTTTTTTATTTAATGCTAGCTTTGACAACCTGTACGGGGAGAAAGGGTTTGTAATTGGCCGCATGCTGCTTAAACCACTGAGGTGGCCAGGCTCATCCACAAATCATCCCATTACCCTTCCATCAGATCTCCCTCTTAACCAGAAATTAGCCGACACTGTAAGAGGAAAAAAACCTCAGATTAAACCCACATAATAGACAAATAATTGGCAATCACTCTAACTTTTCAGTTTTCTTAATAGGTGAGTGGCAAATTAATCTTAATAAATGTGCTTTCTGCAGACAACATGAGTCAAGGTTTGAGTTGGTATTTATTTTGTTATTCGAAAATGAGGTGATTTTGCGCATGTGTGTGCGCTCGCCTAAGGGAGGATACATGTAGCATGCACAATGCCGCAATTGCACACACTGCGTTTTTCTGTACTTTGCCTTCAATAGTTCCTGTCGAGACTTGGGCATGGGAAGGGAACTCACGGGGGAGGCCTTTGCCGGATGGGACCCCTCGGGTTTTGGCACCGGATAGAGGATGCGGCTTTGTGCCGTGTCAGCGTGCGTGAATTGGGACCCTCCACTCACCAGTGAGGGTTTTAAAGTTGCCTTTGCCAAACACGAATTTGGAGCCCGGGTTTCGCGAGCGCAGGAGCACGCAGTCGCGCACCGCCCAGCCCGGCAGAGTCCCCACCAGAGCCATCGCCTCGCTCACCAGGACCTCAGCTGCACGGGGCAATCAGGGAGATGGAAAACAGGGAACAGGGGAATTCAGGACACGGCACGCATTTGGGTAAAAAAAAAAATAACCAGGCAACGTGCCCCCTTCCCATATCTGTCCTTCCCCCATACAAATCCAAAATATTTTTTACGCACCCTATTGGCCACATGGCCTCCTGGAAATGCTTAATACAAGTACTCTTTGCACCGGTATTGACGTTCAGTATCTCATCAGCAGTCGGGCTTGCTTGAACCAATGCTGAACTTCCAGATATTTATAAGCAAGGACCCTGCTAGATATGGGTGCTAGCAGTCCTGGGTCCTCCCCCACTAACAAGCGTGATGGTTAAATCTCCATGGCCAGTAGCTCATGGGGAGAACCTGTTCCTACCATAGGCACGTGGAATTTCCAAGGCGCTAGTTTGAATAGGGAGACACTTCAATGTGGGCTAAAGTAGTAACTAATTGGCGAGTTGTTTACGTGACAAACCTTACTGGCTGTGTTGGGTGAAGGGTTACGACACATTTATACTTACGCAATTAAACCTAAAAACCTTTATGAACTTAAATGTTTATTAATTCCGTTTATCCACAAGATCCGTATTCTCGAAACATGCATCAGAATTTTGATTTAAAGCTTTCGTGACTGCAGTAATTCATATTCTTAGTTTTTTCGGTAAAGTCACGTTGAAGAGAAACAACAAAATAACAAAATATATATAAAACAATAAAAAATTCTCACGACGTTTCGACCGTTTGAGTTATGGTCGAAACGTCGTGAGAATTTTTTATTGTTTTATATTTATTTTGTTGTTTCTCTTCAACGTGACTTTACCGAAAAAACTAAGAATATGCATCAGAATGTTTGGACAATTTCCACATTTTGGATTCAAGTGGAGGGCGAAGGAGAATACAAATCTCTCTCTATCCACACCACGGGGCGATGCCACGCAGAGCTCCACCAGTTGGATTTAAAATCCACTTGGGTGCCCTACCAACTCGCTGGAGGATTGATGCACACTGAAACGACGCCCACAATCAAAGTCTCAAGAGGCATCGTGCTCGAAGGTCCTGCCGCCACAGGGCGCTGTTGTTTGGGTACTCACCCTCGTGAGGGCTGACTCCTCGCTCTCGCACCACGGGGTGAACGATCATCACGTCCATCTCGCGGCGCTCTCCCGCCACGAAGAACGCTTCGACATCTTTCTCTAGCTCCTCCCACATCGGCTCCTCCTCACACTCCTCCGCGTCAACATCACCTCCACCAGCATCACGACCATGACCACCACCACCACTATGAGGTCCCCTAGCAAGTCCACGCCAGCCTGGCAATTGACAAATCGCGTGAATGGGTCCTGGGTTGGGTCTCAACAGTTTGACGTGTCTGCCAAAGGATTCACCCCGAGACCTCGTGCAGGCGGCCAGGAGTCGAGCCCACGGGGCGCGGCGAATCATGCCTGCGTGTGGCGGGGAGCCTTAATCGGTACTCGCTAACAGAACGTACCCCTACTGCTGTCTGTGTGGATAGTGACTGCGCGTGTGCAGGGTCTGTCTGACGTCTGCCTGAGTAGCTGATCCCGAAGTGTATATCTAGTCATGTGAGAGTACAATCATTAGTGTAACAAAAGTATATTTTTAACGCAGTTGCTGAGTACAGGCTGAAAGGCTCAAAACCTCAAGCGGTCATAAACCAACAGCAATAACGTTGCAATATATAAATGTGTAATACTTTCTTGAATTGAGAAGTGTTTTTTTTAAGCGCTTGGGAAAAGATGGGAGGGAATTCCAGAGTGGAGCAATGCTAGGGAAGAAGCAGAAAGAGTAATGAGGTGCCCTGCAGCGTGGTGAGCGGGCAAGTTGTGACCTCCAGTGTGGTAAGTGGGTGAATTGTTGTGACCTGTAGTGTGATTAGTGGGGTGAGTACGTATGTTGCTGTTGCCTTAAAGGGACTGAACGCAGTGTGGATGAGAGAAAAGTGTGGTAGAGATCGATTCTTTAACACGGGTGGAGGAATCTACGAATTAAATTTACTGGTAGAGTAACCGTGATAGTAGTGATCGAATACTGAGACGGACTGGCAAGATGTTGAACTTCTTTCTCATCGTACGTCGCCAACCTTGCTAATCGGAGGTGCGGGGGAAGGACAGCTAAACACAAAAAGCAGTTCTCAAGAAATGAGTTGTCAATCTAGATGGGTTAAAAGTGCATAGCTCCCAGTGGCTTCATAATATCGGAAGAGCGTTCCAGACAGCCCCAGCAGCGCATCTGAAAACGCGCGATGCGGTATCCGTCATTGTTCGATGGTTCGCCAAAATACGCTGCTCCTGCGAGGATGAGCAGAGTTCGCGTGATAGTTTACGCTCCTTGACGAGATTGGCGAGGTCGTCGTGTGAGAGTCCAGCCCGTGTGGCGGGGTGCGTGGAGCTGTGTGACCCTCCCCCTACCCACGTGTTCCGCTCTCGGCTTCCACCCGGAGGGAGAAGCCCGTGAACTTTGACCGCGGACGCAAAATACGTGGTTACACTGCTGCAAATGTGCCGCCACCCATCCCCCCCTGGAAACGCGCTGCTGACTCACAAAGGTTCCGAAGTTACGAGAGTTTGGTTCCGACCGTGGTCATTTGTAAAACATGTACTGTATATAATTAAAATACGTTTAATAACAGTGGTAATGAGAAAACTAAATAATAGGCGACGTTTCGGGCAATGGCCCTTCATAGCACGTAGGCCAGGGAGATGGATAAGAGGTGGAGACTGAACTTGTTTACAAGATGGGGACTTAATGAGAATTACATTCTTAAAATGTTTCATCATGACCAGTTTCTTTTTAATTTGCAAACCCTACAACAATCAAAACGTATTACTGCTAAATAAGCTCAGTTATAGTGAAAGTAAAACTGTAAAAGGTGCCGTCCATAAATGACGTGACGCACCTGGGGGGGATGGGGGTCAGACGTTTGTGACGAGGGGGGGTTGAGAAATGTGACGTCGCATCAAAATGCGCAACTTTAAATAAATATAAACAACACTTTATACTTAATTAAATAGACGTTTTAATAAATGTTTTCTCCTACAACATCAGAGTGCAGCGCCACATTAAATACGCACTACAATGGCAATATTTAAAGCGATTTGCAGCATTTTTTTTGGGGGGGGGGGAAGAGCTGTGACGTCATATTTGAGGGGGGTCTGACTTTTTGTGACGAAGGGGGGGGGTCAAAAATCGCGTGACGTCATTTATGGACAGCCCCAAATGTTGATATCACATTGAATTGTGGGCAACCGAGTCACGTTGTGCAGAATTCCCTCGTTATTCGCGGACTCGCCATCCGCTATTTTGGCTATCCGCGAATCGCATCTGGAACTGTACACGAGAGAGAAAGTGATGAGAGATAAAGTGATGAGGTAATGTGATGAGATAAAGCTATGATATAATTTTAACGTATGTAGTAGCTTATTTACGTATTTATTTAAGGTAAATCATTAAAAAGGTTTTCGTAGAGCCAGTCTCATGAAACGAGAGGATACGGTAGTCTCTTACCTAACCACCAGCTTTGCCTGCTCCGTGACTCTCTCCTCGGCGTCCGTAATCATTACAATAGTCATACGGGCTCTTCAGAAGTGTTAGAGGTCACAGGGACTTTCAAACGTTTTAATTTTCCGAACCTTACTTTAAAACCAAGCAGAATACTGTATATACCTCCACAAGACTGCCCTGCCACATATCTGTCCCTTCACGTAAAACTAAAACAATTTTTTGCACATGCCGTCAGTTGTACAAACTTCTAGTAGCGCATAGTTTCAGCAGAATTGGTTGAACACAAACATTTTAGAGCGGTTTCAACATGCAGTGCCTCATCAGCAGTCTGGCCCGCTTGAACCAATGCTGAACTGGAAGATGTTTGTAGTTGACAGTACACACGACACAGTCCTCTGGTCGGGATTTAAGTCACCACAAACACACAAAGCTCCCCCGTATAATATTATTAGACTCGTGGGATAAGTGCTGTGAGCGAGCACCTATAAAGGCCAGCATGAAAGTCTTTGGAACTTCCAAAGTTCAACTCAGCCCTTCCTTTTTTCCCTGCACAAAGATCCCTTCAGGTCTTCTCCATTCTCCTGCCTGCGTTTTTATTTTCACTGCCTTTATTGATTAATATTGGCTGTCACCCCGTGTCCACACCTAACTTCAGTGTGTCCGGGAACAAGCTTACATTGGCAAGGACACCTCTCTGTTAGATATGGGTCAAAGTTCAAAGCAAAAACTCCGTAATAGACAACACAGAATCGGGCGACAGAGTTGGTGGCAGAGTGGTTAACACTCGTGCCTCACAGCAAGAACGGCCTGGGTTCTATTCTCGACTGAGGCAACCCAACTGGTATCGACCAAACATCCCCAATCCATAAAAATCACCTCCAAATTACTCGATTAGGATTACACATAGCAACATGCCCCCACCTGGACTGCTAAAACCTAGCAGCTGCTGGGTTGCCCTTTGGGTGGTCGTCGGTAGCGATGGCACTGGCATTCTTTAAATATAAGTTCTAATAATTCGGTTCGCTGGTCGGATTATTTGTTTCCCCAGTATGAAATGAGTCCTGACTGTCTGGCGCAACATGCTTCGGTATGTATTTTGCATACAAATGCTTTGGAGTATGTTCCATTGTTCACAACAGTCTGCATGTGATCTCAGATTGTATTCTGTTTACCAGCTCACTTTTTCAGTTATGTTTAAGTCGGCTTTGTATTTATCACTGGTCTGCTTTGCAAATGTGGAAGCATGTCAAGCTGTGCAAGGCAAAGCAAGATTTGGGAATCATTTCACCTAGATCCATCAGCAACCTGCCCTGAACACTGATTTCATTGCCACCGTTTGGAAGTATGCAGCAGTTACATTCTTCACAGCAGCTAGCTTGCAAATTGACAGTTAAATATCAACACTGATAAATTAGTGTTATTACTATCATCACCCTACACTAGGAAGGTGTACAGTGAGGGAAAAAAGTATTTGATCCCCTGCTGATTTTGTACGTTTGCCCACTGACCAAGAAATGATCAGTCTATAATTTTAATGGTAGGTTTATTTGAACAGTCAGAGACAGAATAACAACAAAAAAATCCAGAAAAACGCATGTAAAAAATGTTATAAATTGATTTGCATTTTAATGAGGGAAATAAGTATTTGACCCCTCTGCAAAACATGACTTACTACTTGGTGGCAAAACCCTTGTTGGCAATCACAGAGGTCAGACACTTCTTGTAGTTGGCCACCAGGTTTGCACACATCTCAGGAGGGATTTTGTCTCACTCCTCTTTGCAAATCTTCTCCAAGTCATTAAGGTTTCGAGGCTGACGTTTGGCAACTCGAACCTTCAGCTCACTCCACAGATTTATATGGGATTAAGGTCTGGAGACTGGCTAGGCCACTCCAGGACCTTAATGTGCTTCTTCTTGAGCCACTCCTTTGTTGCCTTGGCCATGTGTTTTGGGTCATTGTCATGCTGGAATACCCATCCACGACACATTTTCAATGCCCTGGCTGAGGGAAGGAGGTTATCACCCAAGATTTCATGGTACATGGCCCCGTCCATCGTCCCTTTGATGCGGTGAAGTTGTCCTGTCCCCTTAACAGAAAAACACCCCCAAAGCATAATGTTTCCACCTCCATGTTTGACAGTGGGGATGGTGTTCTTGGGGTCATAGGCAGCATTCCTCCTGCTCCAAACACGGCGAGTTGAGTTGATGCCAAAGAGCTCCATTTTGGTTTCATCTGACCACAACACTTTCACCCAGTTGTCCTCTGAATCATTCAGATGTTCATTGGCAAACTTCAGACAGGCATGTATATGTGCTTTCTTGAGCAGGGGGACCTTGCGGGCGCTGCAGGATTTCAGTCCTTCATGGCGTAGTGTGTTACCAATTGTTTTCTTGGTGACTATGGTCCCAGCTGCCTTGAGATCATTGACAAGATCCTCCCGTGTAGTTCTGGGCTGTTACCTCACCGTTCTCATGATCATTTTCAACTCCACAAGGTGAGATATTGCATGGAGCCCCAGGCCGAGGGAGATTGACAGTTCTTTTGTGTTTCTTCCATTTGTGAATAATCGCACCAACTGTTGTCACCTTCTCACCAAGCTGTTTTGCAATGATCTTGTAGCCCATTCCAGCCTTGTGTAGGTCTACAATCTTGTCCCTGACATCCTTGGAGAGCTCTTTGGTCTTGGTCATAGTGGAGAGTTTGGCATCTGATTGATTGAGTGCTTCTGTGGACAGGTGCCTTCTATACAGATGTAGTGGAATAAATAGGCGCGTGGGGGCAAGACAGCATGGGTCATATTGGGACAGCGAGGTGCCATGGTTGGGACTATGAGGTAATAATTAGGCCAATTAAGCTAGGGAGCCAGAGACGGCTGTGATTGGCTGGTGTTGTTGTCAGGGCTGAAGTGGCGTCTTAAAGTCTGGAGAAGTAACAGGTGCACTGGCACGCGGAGCGTCGTTGGGACGCGGGTTAATTAATTGTAGAGTAATGAGAGCGGGGATAAATTGGGGAGACACGAGGAGAAAGGGGAGTTGGATTCGGGGGCTGGACGAAGCAGGACGTGGAGCAGAGCTGAAGTGAAGGCAGCCAGCAGTGGAGAGAGGAAAGCAGGAGGTGAAGTGAAGGCAGCCAGCAGTGGAGAGAGGAAAGTAGGAGCTGAAGTGGAAGCAGCCAGCAGTGGAGAGAGCACAGTGAGAGCGGAGAGCAGAGACGAAGCAGCCAGCAGTGGAGAGAGCACAGTGATAGCGGAGAGCAGAGATGAAGCAGCCAGCAGTGGAGAGAGCACAGGGAGAGCGGAGAGCAGAGAGAAGTAGCCAGCAGTGGAGAGAGCACAGTGATAGCGGAGAGCAGAGACGAAGCAGCCAGCAGTGGAGAGAGCACAGTGATAGCGGAGAGCGGAGACGAAGCAGCCAGCAGTGGGGAGAGCACAGTGAGAGCGGAGACGAAGCAGCCTGCAGTGAAGAGAGCACAGTGATAGCACAGAGTGGAAACGAAGCAGCCAGCAGTGGAGAGAGCACAGTGATAGCAGAGAGTGGAAACGAAGCAGCCAGCAGTGGGGAAAGCACTGTGACATCGGAGCTGACAGAGAAGTAGAGATTAGAGAGACAAAGGCGGCGAGCGAGTCCTGTCAAGCAAGGGAACTGAAGCATTGAGGACCTGTGGAGAACTATAAATAAAGTGGTGTTGGAAGAAAGACAAAAGTTGTCCGAGTGAAATTATCCACTACACAGGTAACAAGCTGAGATTAGGAGCACTCCCTTTAAGAATGTGCGCCTAATCTCAGCTCGTTACCTGTATAAAAGACACCTGGGAGCCAGAAATCTTTCTGATTGTGAGGGGGTCAAATAACATTTTTGACATGCGTTTTTCTGGATTTTTTTGTTGTTATTCTGTATCTCACTGTTCAAATAAACCTACCATTAAAATTATAGACTGATCATTTCTTTGTCAGTGGGCCAACGTACAAAATCAGCGGGGGATCAAATACTTTTTTACCTCACTGTAAGTATAAACTATATGAATATAATAAATGTACTCAATATATTATTCAATAAGTTGAGCTATTAACATAAAGTTACTGGGTATACACTACACTATATAATGAATACCATATAGTAAACTAATAAAAAAAACTAAAATATAAACTACATCAATGTTACCAAAAAAAAACTCAATATACTCTCCAATCATTCGAACAGAATTTCGATTTAAAGCTCCAATCATTGGAGAGTATAGTGAGTTTATTGATAACATTGATGTAGTTTATATTTTAGTTTTTTTATCAGTTTACTATATGGCATTCATTATGTAGTGTAGTGTATACCCAGTTACTTTAGCTCAACTTATTGAAGAATATATTGAGTACATGTATTATATTGATGTTGTTTATAC